TCGACTCCTGCGGGTTATCACATGAAAGGCTTATTTCTTACAGTACAGTAAACCATTTTAATCAGCTGCTGGTCAAAAAGAACTGAGACCTGCCACACTGCTGTATTCCAAGAAGTCTACTGCACAGATAGATCTTCCTACAATGATTACCATAACCCCATTGTAATGCCTAAGTGCATAACTACAATACAGTAATGATAAATTCACCATATTGTTTGGTTGAATGATACATCAGCCAATACCGGTCCTGTCTTGAATATAACGTACCATCCAGGTGAGTAAAACCTGTGGTTATAATCTATCAAACTGTTATGTTCATGTAAAGTGGATACTGCTATATTTTAAAAAGGACCATTCAGGTATTGTTTTGCATGTTTTAGCATATAATCCCTCTATTAAATCAGCTTGTGTAAATTGTGTCGTTGTCGCGAGGACATGCAGTTGTGAACAGGAGCACCAATCTTCTTCAGCTTGTGAATTAAATGCTTTTCTACATACAAGCTGTCAGCTCTTGGAGAGAGAGAGAGCTTTAGAAAACACACCCTGCTTGCAGCTATGTCACCAGGAAACAATACCTCATTTTAACTACTGTAATCAAGCGCGTTTCAAGTCCTTACAAGTTCATTTTCATACTGTATTGGAAAATAACTATTTAAAAGCTTGGGGCATACAGACAGTGTAATCCGTTACCTTATAAAGTCTACAAAGGACTATTAGCCCAAAGGCAGTGATGAAATGTAGCGTTAATGGGTACAGACAGCGGTAGGCTATTTGTGTCAGTGGAAACTGTGTGCTTTAATTAAAACTCCTCTTTTTTTCATTCGGTGGGGAAAATGATGGATAAATTATGATTTTTGACATGAAACTTGGAGTCAGTGAATATCAGCAGCTGTCAGCCTCTGTGACAACTAAAAACATCGGGTAATGAAACACATCAGTCACTATGTAGGTTGAGGAAGACCTGTTATTTGACTCTTTGCCGTGTTCTCGCTCATGTGAGACCTGACAGGAAGGATTCATTGAACGTTTGAGAAAGTTCTCCGCTCACCTCTCTCGCTATGAGGTTTAGGGCATCGTCTTCGGCCGTCGACCTCTCCTTCTTGGTGGACCTTTTCCGTCCTGTGCCCTGAGTCCCCATGTTTTCTCAAATACTTGTCCACTCACTGTCGATAAAAGTCACCCTCGTGGTCCAAAAAGCGCACCGAATAATCCAAACAGAGCGGTGCGTGAACTAATCTAGCTAGTGGTTCTCATGTGTCGCTAAAATATCAAAGTAAAGGAGAGGAGACAAAAAAAACGCGTCTGGTCGCGTTCACAGCGTGGGTCATTGTCATACATCCGTCTTTTACACGTCTTCCTGTGTTTCTGGCACGACGCAGAAGCTCGCGACGAAGTCTGGTTCAAACTGTGTTGGCATCTGCCCCACGTGCGCTTCTGATGCGTTTACTAGCAGATTCAGTCCGAACCGTTCACTGCTGCTTCTCACCGTCCCTTTGAACCGTCTCCGTCACCTGTCTGTCATACTATGGATATACATTTAACATACACTGACTTTAATATATATATATATATATATTAACTGTAGCTTAACTACCATTTGTAATGTTGTTAAACTGCCTCGTGTTTATCCAGCAGCAGTATGACTCACCACCTGACGGATTCACAGCAACAGACTCGAACCTGTCACACTGACGAACTTCAAAGCCTGCACTCTATCAAGATGCCTTTAAGTGATGTCGGATATTTGGACCACGATACAAACGATGGTCATTTGGTAAAGCAAAATTGAATGGTAGCTACTCCAATGACCTGAATAAATACTCGGCTACTAATACTAATAGGCAATTGCATACTTGATTACACTTTCCCTACACTTCATCTTCCATACATGTTCTTGCATAACTCCAAAACCATCGACATCTTTTGGCGAGTAAATAATTGACATTACAGAGGACAGTCCGTTGCTTTGTGTAATGTTTGATTAGGTGATATGTTAGGAGAGTCCCGTATGTTGATTTCTTAAATAATTCACAGCCGGAAAAAGTTTTCCCGTGACACTATTTCAGACCCCAATTAAAGCACCGCGTGTTATTTCAGAGCGCCGAGATACGCAGAGCACATGAACGCAGCATCAACCTCTGGACGGGGACTGTTCGGGGGTTGAGTTTCAGCCAGAAACCACAGCTCCTGCTCGGGCTATCGCGCTCTCTCACACCCCCTCTGCTATTTATAATGATGACCCGGGAACTCTTAAAACAGTCTGGAGTTTCTCAAAGAGATAAACAGTATATACCTCAGTCTGAACGGGCACAATGCAGATCGCATACTCTTGGTGTAATGTCTGGGATAGGCTATGGTGAGTTGATAGTGACTTCACTGGTCCGTGCACGAAGTAGAATTCATGTTCCATTGTTCACTTCATATCATGAACAAGTCAGTTTAGGGTTATTACCTCATCTCATTTGTCTACTTGTGTTAATGCACATGTATTCTGCTACGTGTGAGTTTATTGTTCGATAGCCGATGCTGCCTAAACGCGGTTAACGCTTTGTCTGTGTTATTGTCGCATTGAATGAACACGTGCACCAAAACATCAGCTTGTTCCATTATCCAAATTGAATAATGAAAACTGAGTAAAGGAAGTCCAGAGTTGGAAACAGAGACAGCTCGCCTTCCAAGTAAAGGTTGCGCGCTTTCAAACGTGTTTGCTCCAGCGATCAATTTATGGAGAGCTACATTAAATAAATAAACAAATATTCTAAATAATGAAGATAATCTATTACTGTTATAAAGTCATGTCTGCCACCCACAGTTGAACGTGAATAAAGTGCCAATGGGCACAAACACTGAATTCTTTGTATGTAATGATTTATTACATCATCAATTTATTTTTATAAATAAAGGCTTCTTAAACTATTTGGGTGAATGTATCAGGCTGTAGTGTTGAGACTTGTGATGAGTCTGAATGTAAAAAGAGCAGATCAACAAATAACAGCGCCATGTTCTGTAACTCAAGTGATTAAAATGACCGCATTTGGCATGTGATCCTGCAGCGCCCTCTGCAGGGGAAATGCACGTAAGACAATAGAAATGATAAAAACAATGTTATAATTTTGAATTAAGAGCTATAATAACAGTAATAGTAAAACAGTGTGAAATAGAAGCTAATAAAATAGCTTAAAATTATACAACATAAATACAATAAAATAATACATATCTAATATCATAGAATTGAAAGCTATAACAACAGAAATAATAGTGAAAAAAAGTGTGACTAAAAATTGAGAAAATAGAATAGAATTATATAACGTAACATATAAAGAGACATTAAATAACGGAATCAAATTTTTCAAGAGGACGAGAGGAGGAGGAGAGGACGAGAGGAGGATGAGAGGACGAGAGGAGGATGAGAGGACGAAAGGAGGAGAGGACGAGAGGAGGAGAAGAGAAGGAGAGGAGGAGAAGAGGAGAGGACGAGAGGAGAAGGAGAGGAGGAGAGAACGAGAGAAGGAGAGGAGGATGAGAGGAGAAGGAGAGGAGGAGAGGACAAGAGGAGAATAGGAGAGAAGGAGAGGAGAAGGCGGGAGGAGAGGAGAGGACGAGAGGAGAAGGTGAGGACGAGAGGAGGAGAGGAGAAGGAGAGGAGGAGAGGACAAGAGGAGAATAGGGGAGGAGAGAAGGAGAGGAGAAGGCGGGAGGAGAGGACGAGAGGAGAAGGAGCTTTTTTTTGGGCGGAAGGAGAACGTGAGGAAGGAGGGCTCTGAGGCAGACAGAGAGAAGCAGCAGCTCTCCTCAGCCTCCCCACATGGGTACAGAGCTACAGATGCAGTCCAAGACACAGCTGACACTATGAACAGGACTAACAGCTGTCAATACACCATATGAACTTCATAATATGTGAGTGTTGTTGATACAGTCTGATTTATGCCGTCCCCAAGTGGCCCAACAATCAATCTGCTTTCTAGTCTGCACATGTAGGGGACTGCTGATCTCCTATACCTCTCAGTTTGACATCCTAGCAGAGTCAGTTCGTTTGACTTCTTTGACATCCTGTGAGCTCTCTCTGTTGTGATTAGCTATCGACAGTCAACTGCTTTCGTTTACAACCAACTTAAAACAGTCTGTATTTTGTTATATTTGTTTTCCTGTGTTTTCTACTTGTTTGTTTATTTTTCCTGTCTTTCTGAACCCTTTCCGTCAACATAGCCCTTAAAATAAAACTTTTAATAAGCCTGATTGTAATCTGGAGTCCCCAGAACGGATTGGTCCAAACTAAACGAAGACATCACACTAGACTAGGACATCACACCACTATGACATATCACACTATACTATGACATCACACTGTTAAATTCTGGAGCCTTTTAATATTTATTCTGTCAAGCAGGAAATTATACAAATTTAGAGATGCATTGCAAAAATACCTGTTACAATATTAGGACCACGGTGTTTAATCAATAAAATAAAGGACTGTATTCATCCACACACTGTTTTGGATGACAGTAGAATCAGCCTTTGTTTTAGCTCAGGACCGAGTACAGAATCTGCCTTAAAGGTATTAAATGTTTAATTTTGAAGAACTTTTTTTTGGAAAGTGGAAATACAAGAAAAAGAAGCTAAGAAGAATCAAACAAGCTTAACAAAATATATATGTAGTATGTTTTAAAGCAGGCGGCAACCTTGGTTTCTGAAGAGTGAAGCCAATGAGAAAGTGTCTTAAACGTGCATTCTATCTACTGCCCAGCAGGGGGTGACTGCTCTGGCTGCACAAAGAAGTCTGTTTGTATAGAAGTCTATGAGAAAATGACTCTACTTCTCTCTTGATTTATTACCTCAGTAAACATTGTAAACATGAGTTTATGGTCTCAATCTCTAGTTTCAAGTCTTCTTCAATACAGCATGATGTTCATTGAGTACATTATGGTCCATTCAGAGTCAAATAGACCATAAAGCATGCGACAGTGAACTTGTTAATATTAGCCACTAAACATCAGCATGACACCAAGCCAACATAAGGAATTAGTTCAGAGCACTGCTGTGAGGCTGTAGACCGGTATGGGAACAGGCTATATTGTTCTGGCAATAATTATGTTGCTATCATGGGGGAAGAGAATAGTACAGCTTTGGAGTTAAGTAAGATATGTACCTCGTGCTATTAAATCAACATACCAAAATACATAAATGTTCATTGGTTGAATGTACAATTAGAGGTTGTGCAGTCAGCAGCTGTTTTTACCACCTTGTAGCACAGGCCTAGGTGTCAATAACGATGTGTTCCCCACTTTTGACTTTCCCTGTCTGACCGTAAACAAAACCAGTATTGCATTCCAGTAGGGTCCGTACAGCTGCAAAGTCCATCTTAAGAAGGACTATTGTTATTAAATAGGTTTGTCTGAACACCCTGACCTGTTTTTGCACAAATGTAGTTTAAATCTCAGACAAAAGTGCATATTGTTATCTGCATTCGCCCCTTTAGATCATTTTCTTTTGTGCTTTTTATGGTAACTACGAAGACCTTTTATACAAGAGATAGTTTGACATGTTATACCAGGAATAGCACAGGTGTAGTTAGTACTATTAATGATGGCTGAACCCTTTCAGGTGTTCCCTGCTGTTGTCATTATTCATGTTTCTTTTTAAACCTGAGCCTTTCCTACTATGACAAGTCAAAATGTCATGAAAAAAACATTTCAATTATTGGGCATTACACTCAGCCTTATAATAATTTCCATATGAATGTGTACAAACATCATTATTATGTATTTATTGATACAGCAGCAGAAACATCAGGCGTGCTCAGCCCCTGGAGAGAGGTTGGAGAGATCCGGCCTTCAAACACTGCAGTACATAAACACAGGCCTTTCTCACAGAGAACATGTTGACTACCCACATACATTTAATAACATCGATGTCTCCATTACATTCAGGTGCCTGTCGTATTGTGTGTAGTTCATCAAAAGCCAAAGAGTCCTCCTTATCGTTAGTTGTTTTTTTCCTATGGTAAGTCAAAATGTCAGCTGTGACAAAGACATGAATGTGTGTCATTAAGAGCTGGACATTGGCCCCTGAGGACAGCAGGGACACTGGAAAGCAATAAAATAATGGTCTTTGTATTTCAGTCCACAAGGGTTTGTTTGCACTATTTTAGTTTTGACAAATTAATGTTGACCATTGCATCTAAATTATTCTGTATGTAGTTGGAATGTTCCTGGATAAGTATTATTGTCAACTAAAACAAATACACAAAGATGAAAAATTATATTTTTCCATTGCAGTGACCAGTGTCCCAGTGTCCAGCGTGGTCTTTAACGTCAGGAGCCACATTTCTGCACAGCTGTCTCTGAGGACGTCCCCGAGCCTGCCGCTCCACCGTCACCTTCTTCAGGTCCTGGGATCAGTGCAGCCGCTGGGGAGCTTCCACTCGACCCATGCCCCGCTCTCATTTCAGCTAAGTACAAAGAGTAACCCATGTGAGTCAGTGACATGTCAAGAATAACACTCCTCTAATACCCCTAATCTCATGGCTTCAAATAGAAAGCCTTCATTGTCATTGTACAGAATACAACGAAGCTCTACTGCTAATCAGTGTGATTAACTAACAACTTCAGCAAGAAAACATCCACAGCCAACACCACAGGTGCTAAAATAATAAGTCAAAGTAATAAAAAAATATAATTTTGCTCAAGAATAAATATATATAATGCACTAGCATGAATGTAATTATTGCACTCAAATAAGAATAATTATTGCACTTGAATAAATATAATCATTGCACTAGCATAAATGTAATTATTGAACTAGAATAAGTGTAATTATTGCACTAGTTTAAATGTAATTATGGCACTAGAATAAATGTTATTGCACCAGATCCAGCTAAATTGCAGTTGAAAAGACAGTGATCAAGTCTTCTTCGCTTCATGACATAATGGTAAGACAACTTAAGAACAAAGAGTTAATTCATGAATACATTTAATTGTGCAGTTATTCCTCCTGTTTCTTTGCAGAAGTCGCAGTAGTGGTTGTTGTCATTGTCTTACCAATAGCACTACATGGTGTGATGATGGGCTTCTCCAGTTGCTCTCCAGCAGCGATGGAAGCCCGGATCCTCCGGACCACGTAGATGCTAGCTGGGATGTGAAGCAAAAAAATACACACATAAAATATACACTTTAAATAAGTAGATAAATAGTACATAAGTCTGACATCAGTAATACCTTTTCAAATGAACTATCTTATGTACTACTGTTTATTCATATGTGGAAGAAGTACTCAGCACATATACTTAAGTAAAATAAGAAATACCACATGTAGAAATACACAAAGTCACGCATTCAAAATGAGTTCAGTAAAAGCACAAGAATATTAGCATCAAAATATATGTAGAAAATACTCATTAGGCAGAATGGCCAATTTTATTACAATTACTAACAATTAACAATGATAATTACTTTAATGTTGCAGCTGGTAAAGGGGATAGGTAGGCAAGGTAATATGAATTAATTTATATACTGCTAATTTAATTGATAATATCACACATACTTTATTGGTCATATTTAGTTGGATATTCATTATCTAAATATACAAAGTAATTGAAATATTTCCCTCTGAATGTAGTAGTGTAGAAGTAGGCATATAAAGTAGCATTACATGATGACGATAGATAGTAACGTTACACATAGTACAGGCTAACGCTCACCCTTAGAATAAATGAACACCAGTGTCTCTCCTCGGTGTGGGCGTGGTCAACTCAAAAACGATGAACTACCACAGTACACTACCTACCTTTTATTATCAGTCAGACCATGGTTGTTTCCTGTTTCAATCTTTCGGTGAGAAAACCTCGTCAGTCGCAGTGAAATGCTGCTCTGTGCTTTTTCCGGTCACTCTATGTTTCCGGTTATATACCATCTCGAACTGTTACAAAAGCATAATACCAGGGGCGGGACTTAAAGCTCTCAACTGTACTCTGATTGGCTGAGCTGTTATACAGTATAGCATGACGTAATGGCCACGAGATATACATAAATAGAAAGAAAGATCGAAATGAGTCGGACTGTGCAGAATCATTCTGTTTAGAAACTGAACCGATTCTAGATGAATTTTAGAAGTAAAATAAAATTCTTGGAAACACTATTATACAGGTATGTCTGAAAGTTAATATACGAGACAGCATCTAAAAAAAACATTTCATAGCTTTGTGTTTTCTGAGTGCAGTGCTGGGAGAAGTATTTTTGAACTGACTCTTTAAGTAAAACTACAAGTACCGCAATAAAATAATACTCCATTTCAAGTAAATTCCTACAACTAAAATGCTACTCCAGTAAAAGTACAGAAGTATTATCAACAAAGAGTACCTAAAGTAAAAATACTTGTTCTGCACAACAGTTATCCCTCATGATGTATTTCCTATACATGACATCAGCTACTGTGGTATTTTACTGTAGCGGGTTGAGGTGGAGCTAGTTTTAATTACAACCGTATAGTTTGGTAGTTTAGTCCAATAGTTCCCAGCCGAGGGGTCGGAGCCCCCCAAAGGGTCACAAGAGAAATCTGAGGAGCCGTATAAAGATAAGTGGGTGAGATGAGAAGAAACAACGGGAAATATTGGATCATTAAAACAGTTATTTAGATTAAAGCATTTAAGTTTAGAAAGGGCAAACTTAGGTTTAACTGCTGACAATTAATAAACTAAAACATGACATTTACTACACTTGTAAAGGTTTACTAGCCAAAAAGGTTAGTAAAAAGATTGAAGTTAATTTGAAACATTACAACTTTGATTCTTCCCTAAATTAAGCACATGCTCCAATTAATGAAATGAAATGAAACACTGCTCCTTTAAATCAGGGTGATCCATGGAATAATTTATTGTCAGGCATTTTATTGCGATTTACAGAGCTTCATTTATCCTTGTCCAATCCCAACAACATAATGATCAACTATTCATGTCATCCAATATGTATTTAGCATTTGGAATGGAAGCAGGGGGAAAACCTCCAGTCTATCTGGACTAAACACTGCCCAAATCTTTTTCACAATAAGAGCACAGCAGTTTCTCATACAGTTGCATTTGTATATTCAATATATACACAGATTTTATTTAACTTATAACATGTCACACAGCAAGACAAGCACAACAATTCCACACAGGAACCAAACTCACCCTTTCATATTACAATATATTTTTTACAATAAAAATACAGTTGCAATCACTAGGGAAACAAATGAAACATAGTTAGTGAGGAGTTTAAGTCTTAAGGAATGATGTGAGCTGAGGTTGAAGGGAGGAAGTCTGAATGAATTCAGTGTATATATCAGTGGAGAAGGGTATCAAACCGCTCTATGGAAGAAAATTTAACAACCACTCCTGTAATGTTGATTCCCCCCCGTTATCAACAAAAAGGCGACTCAGTATTACGCCCCTTCCTCCCATCAAGCTGTCACAGTTTGTTCTCCACTAAACGAGACCTCACACAAAACACAAACATTCACTAGAGGGATCTAAGGGGACAACCGGAGTGCTGACGGTCAGGACTTAGTCCACCCTCATCTTCTGGTTTGTCATCCTGTAGATGATGCTGTCGTACCCCGGGTCCATGTTCCACAGGTTGTAGGCGACGACGATGACGGCGAGAGCCAGAGCGATCATCAGCCACAGCACAATGTTGAAGATCACGGCATACTGGAAGTTGTACTTGTAGGCCAGGTTGTAAGGGCTGCCGGGGTTACTCTGCAAAAAAAAAAAAAAAAAAAAAGAATCCGACATCAGGATGTGAGTGTAACATCTAATAAGATCCATTAACAAGACTACTAGGACTCACCCCCATTCCCCCTTGTTTCTAGAGTGACTGATCAGAGCATTCTTTGGTTCCAGAGCTAAGTCATAAAAACAGAGAGGCATGGGACTGGACCTGGGTTTTACTTCACACCAGGGGTTACCGACAGTCCCACCATAAACACTACCGGCGTAGGTTCTGATTTTTAGTTCGGTGTCCGATTTCACCCGTTGAAAGTGCCGCCACAACATCAGATCGGGCCATATTGTACTTTAAATCACATATCCCTAAGAGCAGGAGACTACTGGAGTGTAGCAGATCCTTTGGACTTGGCATCGCAGGAAAAGCACAAGTGAAATGAATTCCGTTAACGATGGCTCAGTTACTTCAAGTGTCCCCAGTCAGCCATGACAGTGAGCCAACATGTGCAATACCAGGGCCGTGAAACCAGCTCACCGAAATGATACGCCAAGATTTACACCTGTGCTTTTACCGCTATGACATGATGGCAAAATGTCTGATTAGAAAAAATTTGACTCTTCGACTTTTTGTAGCGTCTCTCACAATGTACTTTCACAGAAATAGAAGACAAGGAAAACAAAGCTGGACAGACAATATGTCATAGATCATCTATATACACTACTAGTGTTCTGTAAGGTGTAAACAAAACAAACAGTGCAATGAAATAGATACTTAATGGATATACATGGACTGGATGATTATGTACGTACATGTAAAGATGACTATAGACTGTATACACGGTGTGTAGGATTTATATTGACAGTGACAGATGATACGTACACGTTAAAAAGGAAATTGTGCATTAAAAACTGTTAAATTATAGTGTAGAACAGCAGCCGTGGATATTTAGGTTACAGGGTTGTTGACAGTGTATGACTGAAAAAGGTCTCTCGATGTTTATGTTCCTTCACTGTGATAACGAGCGGCAATCAGGTGAGCAGACAGTTTGCGGAGGAAGATGCCTTTGCTAGGTGTGCGATACTGAAAACGAGAAGATCACTAAGGCTGGTGGTAGACCAGATGTGCAGTTACATTTCTGAGGAGGCGCTACGGCAGCAGAGACGGTTTCACACCTCCACGTGCTGCCAGGACTTTGTAAACCTCGGCCTGCAGACCACAAAACCATCCTGCCATCACATTTCACCAAAGGAAACCATCATATGACGCCGTATGACACACCAACTACTGTCCATGAATCATATAATATGGCACACAATGGCCTTCTGAGGGACTTCATCTTATCAGAGTGTCATACAATTCAATTTCAATATCAATTCATTTTTGTACAGCCCAAAATCACAAATTTGCCTCAGAGGGCTTTACAATATGTACACATTTGACATCTTCTTGTCCCAGGACCCTCACATCAGAACAGGAAAAACTCCCCCAAAAAAAACTTTAATGGGGAGAAAAGAGGACACCCATACAGCAGCCCTCATCATATTAGACACTACTTATGATTACGTACAGAGGCAAGGGGGGGAAAAAAGCAAGCGTACCATGGAACAATACCGACATGTGCCAAACATACGTTAAGTTGCCAGTTTATTCGGTACACCTAACTAAATCGAATGTATTCTTATACAACAGCCCTGCAAAAACATTGAACAACGGTTATAATGTTCAGGGTTTTTAAATCTTTTTTTACGGAGGTGTCGATTCAACTTCGTTCTGCAGGCGGTAATTTGTAGTGATGTTGAAATTGATTGCACTGCGAGAGGTGTTTCTAATATTCTGCGAACTATTTTATAATGCTATACAAACCATCATTGATGCCTGAATGGGTGAATCATTTTCTGTTGTCCTTAAACTTCTGTTTGGAATATATACGTTAGTCAGTTAACAACACTTACAATCTGTTTGGATTCCAGGATGGAGCGGGACTTCCTGGTCAAAGGAGCTTCAAAGGTCTTGACTGTGACAACCTCCACCACAGCGCTGTTGCCATAGAGATCATACACATCGTCTCCAAACTACAGTGAAAAAGACACAAGTATGATTATGTAGAGACGTTAAACTAAAAACTGAGGAGGTTCTGTAAATGAGGCCCGTTGAGACCTTCTCCTTACTTTCTGCAGGACAGAGGCCAGAATGGCAGTGGCATCGCGGTACTGGGGGGAGTCCTGGCCATAGAGCCTGCTGAGCTCCTCCAGACCAGACAACTCCAAAGAGTACAGGTCAGGTGAGTGGTCCTTCGCCAAATGTCTGTGTCTCTGCAGCTACAAGAGGGGAAGATGACAGAGACACCTGATCCACAACGCAAGAACTATCCTCATTTCCAGCCTGATTTCAGCCAACCCCGACGACTTACCAGAGCTGTGATGTCATGCAGTACCTGGACCTCAGACAGGAACAGCAAATCAGCCTGGAGAGCAGAAACAGTTAAAAGATAAGAAATGCAGAACGGACTCCCAGTGGACCTCTTGATACACTTCAAGGACTCTTGTTGACGAAAACAATCTCAATCAGGTAAATCTGTTCACGTTATTTGCAGCGCTCTCCAGAAATGAAGGTATGAGGGTGCTATGTTTTATGTTAAGTATCTCAGCAACATACGGAGAATACCGTGAGCCAACTGTATGAGAATATGCATTTTATACACCCTCTTTTGGAGGTGATGGTGATCTTTCAGTCAAAATCAGCCATCACGTCATGCTGGCTGTCACACGTTTGTCTTTAAAACGCACATGCAAAAGAATGGTGGTTGTGTTTGGAGTGAGGCTAAGCGTGGACACAATGTTGCCGTTTGAAAAACCGACCTCTGCATTTCTGCTGAGGGAGTTGAGCGGCAGAGAGGCCAGCACAGAGCCATCCTGGGACAGACGAGCACGGATCTGCTGCAGGGTGACAGGTAGGTCCTCAAACACAGCGTTGGCCTTTCCCAGCATATACAACCTCTGAGAGAGACAACAAACAGATGTATCTTAAAAAGCGTGATGGCACAAATGGGGAGTGTGCTTTGCTCGGTCTCAGTATATTTTCATTACCTCCTCACTGGGGGCCAACTGCAGCACTACAGGCGTGTCCTCAGCAAACAGAGAGTGTACCGTCTCTGCGACACTATCCAAGGTGAAGGGTACCGGCTGCAGGGAAGAAGAACAAGACCCACTGACTGACTGAGCCTAATTTCATTGCATACTTTAGTAATGTTGCACAAAACATAATCCCGATTCCACAGTCCGGTCTGACTCACATTCTCCAAGGGATAGGAGGCCACACTCTGAGGCAGGGCCAGGCTATCCTCCACTCCTCTCACCACCACCAGTACGTTGGCGCGGGGGCGCTGGAACAGCGGGCCAGCCTGAAGGCCTGGCCACGACAGATCCTGTACGAATGAACACACATTGTGAAGGCCGGCGTAATCAGATGCTCACACACCTTGATATCATCACGTTTTTAAGTTGATATGATGAACTTTGGCATACAGTTGCTTATTTCTGTTTTCGAAAAAAATATTATCAATCATTTGGAGTGGTGTTTCTGGGCCACCTGACAAATATAAGTCCACCATTAAGTCTCTTTTAGCTGGAAAACAATAATAATAAAGCAGTGATGGAAAAGATGTTGCAGGTCAGACAGCTACCAACAAGCTGAAAGACATTATACAGCTCCATAGATCCAATGGGGGCTGCAGATGTGGGCGATACTTCTTATTAGGTTTCGGAATTTTGTCATTTGATTAATTTAAAAAATATATCTATTATAGACTCTACACAAACAACAAAGACGACTCGTGGAGCATTCAATAAATAAAAAGTCACCTCTTGAACAGAGAAGCCCATGGTTAAAGCCACCAAGTCAGGGATCTTCTCTCCGGAGACAGGCCAGTCTCCTTTCTGAAAGGACACAAACTCTGGAGACTGCAGAATTGTTAACCTGTCTCCATGTACACCTGTGAGAAAAATAAGAGGACTGTCAATCCCACTACAACATGTGGCAAATTAAGAATTTAGTAGCAGTACGAATACTTCCAAGAGGAAAACATTTCTCACGCTTATGAATTCAACATGCTTTAAGCTTATGTTCAACTCAACAATTTCTTCGTGTGAAATTCATGCAATATGGTTCCCTCAAAAATTCTCACAAAAGGAATGAATAAGTTGTGTCCATAACTTTTGGATTACAATCCCACCTGCAATGCTTTGCCACTGATAGATGTGAATATTATCGTTTCACAGCGGTGGTGCAATACGATAATGAGCCATCACAGTCAGAAATCTCCTTTTCCTCCTCACTATACAGGGAACCAGTAATGGAAATAAACTATTTTGCCCACCTGCCACTGAGTCTGGTGGATTACAAAATCTACCAGACACTCAATAGATTGTTTTATTAATTGGCTGGTGACTGAAGCAAATCTAGCAGCCACTTGCATACTTTACATTTGGCTGGTGGCTGCTGCTAATTTCCAACCCTGGAGTGAACTATTGAATATGTATTATGTAGGAAATGATGAACAACTGAAAGAGGAACCATACCTTTGTCAATATCTATTATTTTGCCAGAATTCTGACTATCATTAAACTAAGCAAAAAGCCCAGGACCCCCACTGACACACTCCTATGCTATGCTAACAGTTGTGCCACCCTGACATTTGAGAGCATACTCATTGCTGGATGAAAGTTTTGTTTTTATCATTATGTCAATAGCTTTAAAACTATTGGGATTTGTTGAATTTGAGATTCCAACCATAATGATCCTGGTACAATATGTGTGTAACAATCATCACTGCTCCCAGTAGAGCATATACAAACACTGACAATTCACTTGGGCAAAATAAATATTTCGTACAGGCAATACTGTCAATTCTAATGTTTTTACAGTTTAATTATTTATCATCTTATTTCTATACTGATGCTTCTTGTTATTGCTCTATCCCCTTTGCTGCTGTAACATTAAAATACCATTTTAGTAGTTTTCTTAATCCATTTATTTTTGGGGGGTTGAGATGCCAAAACATAAAATAATATATATATTATTGGAATGTATTCAAATGAAATAAGTTTTATTGTTTAACGTTTTACACATTAAAATATTTTCAAAGAAAATAATGGACTCGGACACAAACAAATGCATGTCATGTCATTGACCCTCTTCCCTTCCTCATCAGCTGTTGTGCAGTAACAGTGAGGCCCTCTTCAATGAGAAGCATGTCCCTTCAGTCAGTGCAGTGTCACAATGAACTCTCACTGACACGTCCGTTGATTATTACAGCAAATCACAGCTTTTCCTCCACAGCCTGACTGGACTTCACGTGACAGAGTAAGGATAACCCACTAACATCACAGCGCCGTTGATGGAGGCATAAACTCGTGACAGAGAGCTGATGGTGAATGTTAAAGAGGAAGTGCCAGTTTACAGCCTGTCACATGACAGCACAGAGTCTTGTGTGGATTAGTAACCAACAAGGAGCAAATAAATGGACATTTTCCTTGAATTTATTATGACCACGAACAATGTGTGAGCCTTTCCAACATGATAAACAACACACATTTTCATCCGCACTGCTAGCGTTTACAATTTGCAAATGCGTTAAGTGTTAGCATCGAGCTAACATTATGGTGCTCATTTTTACCCGCTTGTTGGAAGCTCAATCCGATCAAAAGATCCAACACTACAAGTACAGTAATGCTGTTTCACACATTCCCATTCATTTACGCAAGACCGTCGTATAACGTTACGTTACCTGGCATAAGGTTGATCAGGAAGCTAACGTTAAACGGCGATGCTAACGATGTTCCAAGCTAGGTTGTCATTCGCAAACACTGTGGATACGTGACGCTTTTATGATATGTTTATGTAGGAAAGCAATGTCCATACAAAATTGAATCATAATTATCTATCGTTCTTACCGGTTGCGGCAAGTAAGCAGAGGGCAAACGCCGCGGATAATACAGCCTCCATCCTTCTCCAGTCTGTCAGCGACATCTTTCTCCTTGGTGCTGGTGCAGCAGTGATCAGGTGACCTGACGTCAAGATACCGCACAGCCCGATGGGAAAATATCTGTCACAAAGTAGCGTTGGTCCTTTACTTTTAAGTAAAAGTAGCAATACCACAGTGAAATAGCGTGAACTAGCCTTCTCTGTTTCAAGTAGACTTCCAACTTTTTTAGACAACAATATTTATTAAATAGTTTTATAGTTATATAAATATTAAATATTAAAATAATTCTACATATATTCTTTACACCTTCTATTGCAATTTGTTCTATTTTATATTGTGTCTTTTGACTTTGCACTCTATTTATCATATATATACAAAATAGGCAAGACAAAATCCTTGTATGTGCAAACCTTGTTAATAAAACTATATCTGATATCTGAGTAATACATAATCATGTTGGCTACATCATGAATACCTGTGTAGATATAAGCATGGAAGGGACATCAATTACAACAGCATATATAATTCATGTTTCTTTTTCATACTTGTACAGTGTTCACGGTTTATGGTAAGGGACTGGAGCTGGAACAAAACTATGAATCTTAACACTTATTAATCAGCAACACTTCTCATCACTGATTAAATGTTTTTGTTAATATAATTTCAACTTTCAAAAAAAACACTTTAAAAAGTTGTCTGTTTTGATGTTTATGTGGCCTGTACAGTACAGATTTACCAACATGTTTACAAATTATTATATGTATTTATAGACCATACATCTTAAATGTCATCAGTTTATTCACAATTTTTTCTCTCTGGAGTAAATTAATCTCAATTTACACACGCTATACTTGCTACCATTCTGGAACATTTAACTGACAATGAGGAGAAAAAAAACAATGACCACGCAGTATAATCCTGTTCATTTACAGTATTTTTTTCCACCTAGACGGTGTCCATTTATAACACCATGATAGCTGTAATAGAGGCGTATGTTCTAAAATGACATGCTGCTGTTCAGTAGAGACGGATACTGGTTAGAGAGGAGCTCTTGAGTTTGAAAGTGGCCCTCCTGCACCTCCTGCCTCAGGATATGACTCTCTGACATCAGTGTTTGACCTGAGAAACTGGTCTCAGGTCTGCCAGGCTGAACTTTTTCCGGCAACTCAATTAGCTCTCCGACAGCCTCTTGTCAAGCCAAAACCTTTACCTGGATACGTGAGCCAATGCCTCTCTGCCTAGAGAGATGGCAGCTGAAGCCCTCGTCTTCACTCCATAAATCTCTCTGAACTTTGCTGCTAAGTAAAACAAGCATTCCTAATGCTGTCAACATAAAAATAGATCTTAAGATCGTCCCGCAGCCAGATGATTTTGGTCTGCTTTCCGTCTTTCTTCAGAGGGTTCTCCAGGGGTTCGTTTATCGCCCGAGGGGCTGGATTGCCCATGTCCCTCTCTAAAGCTCCATTGTCAGCTTGTGGATCAACCCTAGATTTCGGGCCTGACTCTTGGCAGCCTGCCAGGCATCTCTTTGCACCCACTCTGCAGAGATAGGGCACTTGGGAATTTAGCTTGGAGTATATCTGCCTTGTGTGGCTCCCCTCAGTTTTGTTGAAGCTCAGCCAGATCGTGTGTTGTGTCTGTGTCTGTGTGCTGACACACTTAGCGGCTAATTTAGAGCATTCTGCAGAGCAGTACATCAACACCAAATTACATTCCATTACTCATTTACATGAACAGTGTAGTGACTTTAACAAATATCTGTTTTAAAGCCACTGGAGGGCGAACGGGAGAACTTGTTCGGACGCGTGTTCCACAAACATTTAATGTCCACTGCGCTGTCTTTCTTTAGATCTGTTGATCCTTTTATTTAAATACATATTGACACCGTACCACAATACAGGATACTTTACATGGACACGATACCTTGACACGGTCAAAAACTGTTAGCTTCCCGTCCACACACACACCAGATCCTCATTACCAGGCACTTGCATATATGCACATTTAGGTTAAGGTGCCATCCACTGTTCAATGTCAGGACTGCATGTGTACACACCCCATGTTTCCCTCAAAGACATAAGAAAACAACAAAACTACATTATGGCTCCAACAAACAGTAATACAATATTTTGATCCCTCCAGGTCCAGGTGTCTACTAACAATCCACAAAGATTTTTTAGAGCCGAACCCGAAAGTGAAACGCAAAAGTTTTTTAGTCAAATGAACAAGGAGTGCCTTTACCCCCAAATTCTGGCTCTACGGGACAGTTGTGACAGTACGTAGGGTCGGTTGGGACCCCTTGTTCCAAGTAGAACAAAATAAAAAATTGCAGTCTAAATTTGAACACTTTATATATTTACAATGTCACTTGTTCACACATTACTTTGTGAAAAAGAAAACATTTGTAAAACTGTTATATTTTATTAAATAACTGAAATGTGGTATTTGGGGGGGAAAGGGGTTTCTGACTGGCTGCCACTCAGTGATTTCTCAGTGGGTCTTATTCAATTAGGAAAATACTTTGTCTGTTTTTTGTCTGCTTTTTGTTGATTTCTAGGAACAATACTGTCCCAACTGTCCCAGTGAGAACAGACACACTTTGGACTCCTTTGATAGCCTCCAACAAAAACTCAGACAGCTAACACTAGCATCAACTGATGGGCCAGAATATCCATCAGTATGTTGTTGTTTTTATTCGGCATAAAAACAGTGTGGTAGAAGAAAACTAACAAAGAGATGTCCTAACATGCTGTAGATTTCAAAACTGTGAATAAAATGTGAGGAATAGTCAGATGGTTGAAAGTGAAGAGGGCGTGGCTGAGTATGACCATGGTGAATAACATGCGCATATTTGCTTTCTAACTTGCTAAAAATTCCATTTCCCTAACAGTTCCCCTGTCCCGACTGACCCCACAATCCTTTACCTATTAATTAGTTATACACATTTGATTAACTTTTCAACATTTGAGGTTAAAGCAGCGATGAGCAGCAACAAAGTTCAATGGAGGAATAATGAACATAAGAACCTAAAATAAATAAAAAAGTCATGTGTAGTGGCCATTTGTCGACTAAATCAAAATTAAACAAACAATAACGCCACTGATGCAACGTGGTCGGTATTTTATGCAGGCAGAAGAGAATAGATTGTCCATGCAGGATTCCGATTTTCGTATTTATTTAGTAAAGCAAACAAACCAAGCAAACAAACAAAAAGAACAAAGAAAACTCCAGTCGTGCTGTCTCTCCTGTGCTGGTAAAAACTATAAGCCCACCCCGGTGCATGGTCCTATCTGTCTACTCATATAGCCACAAGTGCCCACAGTAATTACCCAAACAACAAAAAATAATATAACTAAACAAATTACTATTAAAGAGAAAAAACAATCTTAATATATCAAACACCTAGAATAATTAAACAATACTACTTATAAATTAAATAACAAAAGACTAATATCAAATAAATAGCTCCAACACAGTTCATTTAAGAATTAAAATACAAAGCTCTTCTGTTGCTGAATGAAACACATCGCTTCAATAAAACCAGCCCACCTGTCAGATCTGTCCCTGACCATAGACCTCACTGCACCAGCCTGTTTCTTCTTATGCTGTAATATTGTTAACTGTTATTTAATCTGCTTTATTATTACTTTATTGTTCAAATTTCACAATAAATATTCAGCTTTCTCTTAAGTCTTCAGTTTTCATCTTTCTTATTTTACATCTACAGCTAACAGTATTTTATAGTAATAAATACAGCAGTATCTAATATGAAAAGTGCTGATTGAGTAATTCATAAATGATGTCATCCCAATGTTCCTCCAGCAGAGAGCACTATAACCGACACTAAAGTTCCAGTCAGCCTGGTATGATGGGCAAGATAACACCTAGAAGCAACACCTGGGTGGGGGTGCAAATTATTTTAGCGTGTCTAGGCTGCCCCTTTGCTTTTCTCACAGAAAGATCCACTGGTATGTTCTTGACTTATTCCTGGGCGAAAATAATGTTCTTCAACTACCCCCCCCCCAACAAACACAAAAATCCCACCTGCTTTTGTCGAGGCTCTACAGTGTCTTTGAAAATATTGCTTTAAAAATATATAGGAAACGTTCACGTAACTTTAGAAACACATACATTTTGATAATAAATGTAAAGGTTATAATTCTTTAGATTTGGTTGTCTTTAGACTTTGGATGACAGCATAGTGCACTCATTGGCTTGAGGGGGGCGACACGGAGGGTCACCGTATAGCTCCACACACTGTGTATCGTCCAACACCGGATCCATGTGGGGCTCTGCGGGACTTCAGGTACCAGCCAAGGAGAATGGATGGAGGGACCCCAATTAAAAACACCACAGCTGCTGTTATGACGACAATGGCCCATGTTCCCATGTGTTCCCCTTTAGTGACGCTCTTTGTCGGCTACAAGCGGGAGAAAGAGATGGAAAAAAACAAGATACATAATTGTTTTTGCTGCTTAACCTTAAGCCCAACATTGATGTTTATAGGCCTGCATTTACTCAAGTAGTTAAGTATCATTTTAAGGTACTTGTACTTTGCTTGAGTACTTTCTCTTTCCGTGACTTTATACTGTTGTACTACTAGCTTACAGTTTTTTCAGTGACTCTTATATAAGATGTTGATAAAACATCCACATTTAGATTCATATTTCACTAGGTTTGGCAATATTTGCTTTCAACTGAGAAATGTGGATGCGATTTCTGAGTTAGGCTCTAAAGTGACGATATATATATATTTATATATGCAGCAGTATATAACGTTGTTTAACTTTGCTCCACCTTTACACCACCAGTCATGTACAGTAATGCATTATAATCCAATAACATACTTTATTCTTGTCGTTCTGCATGAGTGCTTTTACTTAAAGTATATGTTGATACTATTATACATAACACATTTGAATGCAGGGCTTTTATTTGTAACATAGTATTTCTATACTGTGGTACTACTTTTACCTCATAAAACATCTGTACCATACTTCTTCCCCCACTTCCTGACAGTGCAGTCTACTTACAGTGCGCGTCGGGCGGGTACCCATCGGATCGGGTTTTTTGCTTATGACCCTCAACTTCACAGCTGCGGGTTCACCCCACTGCTCTCGCGCGCCGTTTGCGTGGGCAGAGCAAAAGTAATCACCTTGATCCTCCGACAGAACCTGATTGAGAATGAGCGAGTAGTCGCCTAGTTTCCCATCGGGTGACAGAGACAGTTTCCCATCCAAACCTGGTGCGTATTGGATTTCTCCGGAGGACAGATTCAGCTCTAGCAGCGTCTCTTGGCCCTTTTCCCACCGTATAGCGTCCACATGTTGACCGCTAATGTAGCACATGAGTTTGGCCGGCTCCCCCTCGTTGACTGATGCTTCAAAGCCTATGACCACATAGAGGTAAGTGCGTTCCTCGCGGCTGCCGCATCCCAACACATACAGTCCCTTGTCGGTGTAAACGGTGCTGTTAAAGGCAAAGGACGCGCCCCGATTCACCCGGTCCTTGTAGTCCCAGGCCGGGGACCAAACACCTTGCTCTCGATGAGCCACCAGGGAGGTGCTGTGTTCTCCGACCCGGTGAAGTTTGGCCGGCTCACCTGTCAGACAGTTTTCAGTCCCTGGAAACGTAACCGGGTCCCCCAAAAGCACGTGCACACATTTTCCACAAGTGGCAATAAGTGAGAGAATTATTGCCACGACCAGCTGAATCACTGCCATCTTCATAACGAGTGTTACCGAGCGGTCATCTCTCTGCGCAGTGAAGGCTGGATATGAAAGGCTATGGTGTTGGTAGTGGAAATCAGTGAGTGTGTGTGTTGTGGGGGCGGGCCGGCCGCCATGGCCCGCCTCCTGGTTTCCAGCCAGCTGTTGAGCTGGAGCATACGCTGCAATGTAGCAGGGCTGCCTTTTTCACCGAATTCTATCTCCCTGGCACGGCTTTTTCTGAGTAAAAATAAAATGATTTCATTCGAAAGAAATGCAAGCACTCTCACTGTCTCGCTCTGTTCCACATTCCAAAACCCCGTCTACTGTTTGGCCCCAAACTGTGACGGTGGAATTTGTAGTATAGAAAATAGTCACACATGTTGTGGCAACCCAGGTGACGTGGAGGCAAGATTCAGAATAAAACAGGAGACTCAGATGCAGTAGGTACAAAACAAAAAGTGTCCTTTAATAAAGAGGTTGGGGTAAAGGGGATGGGGGTCAAACTTAAAGATTCCCAATGCGAGGCAGTTCCTCTGTCCTGTGTGGATAGAGCAGAGAGAGAAGAGTATTTTTGATTACTGTTAACATACATGAGGAAATGTGTTCTCAATTGTGAAAGATATCTGTTTGTGTTGTCATATGTGCAGGCTTGATAGAGTTTATGCGGGTACTGTGTGATGGACAAAGAGAACAGCCAATAAGAGGTGCTGAAATGTTTTATTTTGGAAAAGAGTACTGAGCAGAACTGATGCCCCACTGTGTTTTATTCCTCCGTAATTGTATTCGGGTTAGCACTGGGTATACACGCCAGAATCACTGAGCAATTTACATCTGCTAACAATTAACTTCTTGTAGTGTATTGATGAGGCGGACACAGCGTTAGTTCACTTTATTTGGCAATGATACCTTTTTGTCATTACTGCGCATGCGCGTTACAAAATCTAGAACCACCATATCGTATTATCGTGATCAATATACCACACTCCTGTTCGGTGCTGCTTGTCTCCAGTGGTTCAGGAGGTCCTCCTGGTCTTCTCCCCAGCCTGTCTGTCGCTGCTGCTTCGAAGCTCGGTAAACATATGCTGCTCTAGTTACCTGATGGGCTGCAGGTGTGACCAATGCCAAGTGGACAGAAGACTCCCTCTATCACCTCCCACACCCTGAGCTTGGGGACCCGCCAGGTTTGCCACAAGGTGTAACAGTTAATTTAAAGTCACAGAGAAACATGTTTTAGGAGTTGCATACTTAGTATAGTGGATATACACGTAAAGTGTAAGTATTGATCATATGCTGTCTGTGCTGGAGGGTACCAGACGTTTTGATATTACAAATTCAGCTTCTTTCCATCTCAGCTGTACTGACATTAACACACAAAGATGACCCATTTCTTTCGAACTGATGAAACAGACACTGTTTGGGATTTACCATCACAGCAACATATATACTGCAGGACAGAACTAGAATTATAACCCAAAGCACAACAGCTGCATAGAATTACGGAGGCAATACTGTGAATACAGTAAAATTATATTATTCAAACTAAATTTGAACATAAATCTAGGGTCATGTACACACTGTGGGTGCACAGTTACACTCCTATTTACAGTTATCTGAACAGTTTTTCCTCTGTAACTCATCAACAAATGCCACCTTGAACAAGAAGGGTAAAACTTCACCTTTGTTACAAGGAAATATTAACAATATCTTCCTCTACTACTACAATAGTATTGTAATGGTGTCTTGTAAAGGATCAGTCCCTAAAGTTGACACTCTGGTACGACGCAGAGAAAGGCTCATCCTTGACCAGTCAGCAGCTTCAGTGGCACAAGGTAGCAGATCCTCAGCCATCTTGACTGGACAGCCTCCTGAAGCCAACACATTAGGAATTTCTCTGCCTAAAATATGTTAAAAGTATAGGAACAAGGTTACTGTCATAAAGCAAAGAATGGAGAACTGAGCTAGACATAGGGGGCAGGTAAATTGAAAAACGTAGGTAGCCTAAACAAAATTCTATAATGAAATTGTACATTGTAATTCTGAGCATGGAACAATTAAGACAACTAAACACAATCGTAGTGTACATATAAAAACAACAACATTGTTTTAATGGCATTCCTGAACGTACAAATTTCTCCTCTTTCTTCAAGTTACGGTGACAATGTAAACCTTTGTCAAATAATTTGACAGTAATCAGTCAAATTCAAGCACTGGAAGCAATTAGAGTGTGAGGATTTGAACCTGGTGCTCTGTGGGCATTCCAGGATTCTACAAAACAGTTCAGACCCACACGGGTGACCGGGCATGCAAAAGTTGTCACACAGAATGTGACAGTCCATATTGAGGACCTCGTGATTCCTGAAATACGTCAGGCAGGCCTTAATTGGGTAATTTAGTTTACTATAGGAAACAATGCAGACATAAAAAATGTATTTTGTTGAAGGGATCTGTTTCTAAATTGATATTTCCAGTATTCCATTGTATTTCCATTGATAGACTCATCCATTAAATGAGGTATAGCTTATAAACTATCATATTGTAAAGTAGACATTTTTGATAGTTGAGGCTGGCTCAGGTTTGCCTTGAACCAGCCCCTAGATATGTTGCTATAGGCCTAGACTGCCGGGGGACTTCCTAGGAAACACTGAGCTCCTCTCTCCTCTTCTCTCTCTCCTTCTGTATGAATTAATGTCCCATTAATGCTCATTACTAACTTTGCTTCTTCCCCGGAGTCTTTGTGCTTTCTCACCTCGCAGGTTCCCGTAGATCCTGGTTATACCTGGACCCTGGTTTTGCCTCCTGCCGTGGTTCTGTCATATGCATTGAATATGTTGTAACTCTGTTATGTTGTTCATTCTGTACACATAACATCAAACTCTCAACACTGTTCTGAAAGTGAACAAGGAAAAATGATGCATTATTCGATACTATAATACTGTAATCCACATAATATAACCAAAAGAGAACCTGCCAATGTTGATGCCGTCTACAGTAATCTGTATAGCTAGCCAGTTTCTCCTGCAGGAAAAGGCTCAGGTAAAACTCGGTTCCACAGTCTGTTCGAAGTTGATCCCATAATCCATGATTAGGCACTGCTTGCCTTAAAAAATGACAAAACACAATTTGACAAAACACTGATTTATTTTTTAATGGGTGTCTATCTACCAGACTGAACCTCTGAAAACATCCCCCCTGTCCTAATAGTCAGTCAATCAGTCAGTTCAGCTTGTTTTCAAAATACTTGTCACTAATCTTGACTCAATTTTAATTTATATTGATCCTGAAAAAAAATATCTGTTAGGAGGAAGATTTTAGCCCAGAAAAAAAGGTTCATTGGTCTTTTCCTTAGAAATCTGCTACTAACATCTTTTATGTAACACAGAAAAATGAAACAGGACTTAATACCAACAATTAAACAATGCTGCAAAACAATATTAATATGAGACTACTTATACACACACACACACACACACACACACACACACACACACACACACCTGTAAAGCTCCTCATGGTGAGCTTATTTTAAACCATGGGGTGACCCGACAACATGGGTTACCCCAAACATAACCAGTTTTTCATTTTGGTCAAAATTAAGTTTCTGTTCGCAGTACTCAGCTTGCCCAGTGTACATGAACAGTCATGTGATATTTGTTTTCAGGTTATGGACGGAAAGCATTTCAAAGCAATGCTGAGACGCCCGTGTGGATGTAGTCTAAGAGTGTGAGGCCTGGAGCTGCTGAACGCTCCAGCTGCTCTGCTAGTTCATTTATATACAGTTTGAGTAATGTCGGACCTCGAGTCAAATACTCTGTTCTTTGATTGTTCATTTTCACAGCACGCAGGTTGGCACCTACAAACATTTGAAACGGTCATATATCTAACCACCTATTCCACTTTGGAGGCTTTTGAAGAAAAGTCCTTCATGCCAAATGGAATCACAGGAAGTAAAGGAAATGTTTTAGGAGTTGCACACTTATAGATGTTTTTGTGTGGATCATTCACTGTCGCATGTAACTTGACTGTCACCGTTTACTGTTTTACAGGTAATTTATACTAATACCTACTGACATGGCTTTAAAACTATTGTTAGTTTATTTTTGCTCTACAAACATTTTCAAATGCAAATATTTAGATAAGGGTAAGCATTTTTATCAGATTTTTTGGCACCAAACAGTGGAATCACAGCCTCTCGGACCATCAGCACCGGTTCCCCTCAAGGCTGTGTTCTTTCCCCTCTGCTGTTCTCCCTGTACACCACCAGCTGCACCTCCAGTCACCAGTCTGTCAAGCTCCTGAAGTTTGCGGATGACACCACCCGCATTGGACTCATCTCTGGTGGGGATGAGTCCGCCTACAGGTGGGAGAGTGACCATCTGGCGACCCGGTGATAGTCTCTCAACTATTTGATCTCTCCCTCGTCTCTCCCCAGTGTGTATGGCCCAATGTTAATGTCCCCCCCTAAGGCATAAAACCCTGAACCCTCAGGGACTTACTGACGTCCCCTGTTAAATGGTTGAGTGTGAAAGACTGTTAGGGCTTCAAATGGTGTGACAGCACTTTGCTGCAACATATCACGTTACCACAAGAGTTTCATGTTATGTTATGTACAATTGTGGAATTTTTATTTTATACTTTTTACTCCCTGATTTGGACATCTTCCAGGGTTTTGCGTCACGAGATGAAAGTTATTTGTCAAATAATCTATTTACTCGTTTTTGTCAAAACAGCTTCAATAACGAAATGAAAAGAAATAGTTCATGAATAAACCAGCTGTGTAAAATAATCTCTGCTTGCATGTGTTTTTATTTAAACCCAAATGTTTTTGTGTAAATGTAATTTGCCAGGCTGAACACCCATTGTTGGCTTCCACTGGTAGCCCCGTGCTTAACATCGCACTGCTGTGAATTGTGGGTAATTCCCTCAGGCAAAGTCTGAAGAAATGAGGACTTTCAGAAAGTGTTCATTAAGGGCTCAAAATGTCTGCGAGAGAGTCCTCAAACCCTTGAAGATTT